AAGCCTACAGCGGCGTCCTTAACTACAACAAACACCAGCGAGGGGAAACAAAAATTTTCAAGATGGCTTTCAATACCCGCGCCGTGCGGTCATCTACGGGGAAATGCGATCACGACATAAAAAAGTTGCCAACAAAATCATTTTTGTCTTTTTCGAAATATGGACAGTCAAAACTGGGCGGCGGAAATACCCCACGGGAGGTTAGGCGGCCTACAGTACTTGTCTTTTTTTCAATGTTTTTATATGCCGGGAAGTTTTCCACAGAGGGAACCCCGCGCTTGTTTTTGATGGCGTTTATTTTTCATCATTCACAAACACATCGCATAGTTGATGGTGTATAGGATACAGGCGGAACCAAAAAAAGTTTTTCTATTTCGGATTTTCAAAGCAAGAGTCTTCAACATTGGGGTGAAATGGACAATGGGTGAGATCTATTCAGTGAAGCAAGCGTCTACTCATCGTTTGCGGGGTGTCAATGGTTTTCGGACTGATTGCTTGTCGTTGCCAGAGCCCCCCGCCGTAAGGTCCAGATCGGCCGACGGCGGAAGATGTGGGAACACGGAGGCATCTGGGAGGGAAATGGACAAACCCGCGCCCACTTGTGGCTGCCGCGCGTGTGGGGATTAGACGGGGCGAACGGACATCGGACTCGGTTCCGTACATGGGGATGTTATTGGCTTGAACTGAGTTGAAGTGGCTAGCTGAATGAAATCTGACCTCTGATCGGGTCATTTAGTTTTGCTCAAGCTTTTTTGGTGTACCCGTCTTGCCTGCGAATATGATACTACCTTATTTTGTGGAAAAAAGGCGTCATTATTACGAGCTAGCTGGTGAGGATTGCGTGTTCACTGTTACGGATTTCGTTTCTCTATTTCGATTGGTGTCTTGTCTCTCTCGGTATCTGCGACCAGAGGATGCAGTGTTGGTTGCATTCATGTGACGTCGTTATTGGGAGTTTAGGTAATGGCCAAGGGCTTTCTTCTATCCTGGTGGGTTCGAGAATGAAGACACGTGGTGTTACCATACGGGATATATGCGTATCGAAGAAAAAGCCTGGGGATTGGGTGCTTCAGGTTTACCAAAGTTTTCTGGGTGTGTGCGTCGTTTCCTCAGCATTACGAGTCACGATGAGCTCTCACTCGGATCGAAAGGGGACGAGCCCGGATGAAGGTGAAAGATGCCAGGGGGGTTCCTTGGTCCGAGCTGCGCGTTCCTGGATTCCTCTTGGTCATAGAATGTAAGAGGGTTTGGAATCATATGAACCTTTTTTTTGTTTCTTTTCCAAGACTTTTGGGACTTGTATCTTCCTGCGGTAAGGATACATCTTTGCGTTTCCTTGGCTTTCCGGATTCGGTGAGCCGATTTGGAAGTGACACATGCGAGATTCTAGGCTAGTAAGAACACAATTTCATGACCCCGAGGATACGAGGGTTGTTTGGACAAGTGATTACTTTCGAGGTAGGCAGGCGGGCGGGCAGGTTCCATGTCAGCGAGTGCCGAACTCAAAGGGCGGGTCTATTGGCAGGTGTACGCATGGAAACGGCCGTGTGTGACTGCTGCCCCGTCTGGAACCTTTGCGAGATTGATATTGAAAAGACGGGGAAAGAATCTGGGGGCCTGGGGCACTGGCCCCCCCGTTTTGTTTAATTTGAGTGATTGCATCTGTGTTGCTGCCCTGCAACTCCGTATACTTCGTAGTGGATTACGCTTTGTGCGTCCTGTTTTGTGAGCAGAGGCATGTGGACGTTTCCATCACCTAATGGCAACTCGCTCGAAGCTGAGCAGTTGGTCCACCGTAACTGCGGGACATGGATTATTGGGGGCGGAGAGAGAGAGAGAGAGAGAGAGAGAGGGAGAGAGAGAGAGAGAGAGAGAGAGAGAGAGAGGAGATTGGGTTGTTGGGTTCGGTTTCCCGTGAAGGGCCCAGTTGTTCCCACCGAGGGCATCCGGGAATTACGTAAGTAGGACTTTTTTCTTGACTCTACAGAGATGGGACCGGTTCGAGGTATCCGCGTGAGATTGTGACTTTTACCTTGTTGCTCTTTCGGCATGCGAGGTTTGTAAGAGAGATGCCTGTTTAGGAGAGGTAAGTGTAGAGATGGAGAGCCAAGAGGGAGGGTAGACGGGGAATGGATTCCGGAACAATGGGGAAGAGAGACCGGGAGGTCCGGGCGGCGGAGACGGGGTTTCGGAACGGCGGTTGGCTTGGTTGAAGAGGGACTCTAGGGTCTGGACCGGGTGTGGGATTCGACATGTCGGTTCAGACGTACGTACGTACGTACGCATAGAGGCTTGGCTTAGGACAGGCCAAGGAGGCGTATGGCTTGGTGACCGTAACGTAGTTTCTCAACAGCTTGTAGGGTAATCTCGTCGAGGGAGTTTCATGCGCTTCTAGATCTAGAGAATGGGCTGGACGAAATGAGTGGTTTCGAGCGAAGGCGGGTCGCCCGTTATTTTCATCGTAGAGGGTAAACTTTCGGTGAGGTGAGATATGGGAGGCTTCTCACAGATAATGAACCGGTGCAAACGTGAGTGCGAATGATTGTATTACTTTCACCCAGTAATGTTCTGAATCATCGAGAGATTGTGTATTCGCTGGTTCGTATCAGGTGATGATGATATTTTCATATCTCAAGCACCCGATCAGTTCCTCTTGTGTGAGGTTCTCCGTTGTATCGTCCAGCTTATATTCAGCCACTGCTGCCAGGGAAGGAGGAATTGAGGTACTTGGGTCAATGCATCTCGTCTCCTATTCTAAGAGGCACAAGGGAAACGCGGCCGAGGGGTACCTGGGGGAGTCGATGTACTAACTCAGAATCCGTCGAGCCTCACTCAACCTAACCTCTTGTTCGATTCCCTATGGATGATCGCTTTTTCATCACTGTCCTTCTCTTTTTCCTTTTTCAAGGCATCATATTCCACTCTTCATCTCAATGCTATATGCTCAGTTAGTCTCGGCCACGCTGAGAGATGACCACGTGTGAATTGAGAGCTGGCTGGCTGCCGATGGTTCGACATGAGCACAATCGACAGTCTGCCGAAGTCACACAAGACAATGCACAGAAACGATGGAAAAGCAAAAGTATGAGGCACTGCCGCAAGCCCTTCTTTCTAGATACTCTAAACATGGCGTACGCATTGCAAGTTCTTCGTTGACTGCCTAACTACGCAGGGTCCTTTGCATCATGAAGTCTTTCGCCATTTCTGAAACCCTTGTTACACCGCACGTCTTCTGCTCAGCGCCAGACCAAAGTAAACTCCGAATATTCATACGCACCTAATGTAAGGTTACATTGCACCGCATAAAATGAGTCGTTGAAAGGATCGATTCTGTACTCTATGCACAACCATCATCAGTTCGGGAAGTGATCAGATGTAAAGTGGTTATCATCGTCTTACACAAAGGACGAGCCACTCGTCCACTCTGTACTCGCTTATCAGTGGCTACTAAGCTAAAATGCCCGACCGGATGGAAGACGTCAGTCGAAACGCCGGCCGACTCGGCCGCGGTGGCGGTGCGGAGTAGTGGGGGTGGCAAGACAGCGGGGGGGTGAGAGCCCGTGACACCAGGCCGTTCAACGGCTCATCGTCCCGGACTAAGGTTCACGCATCTTTCCGTCCCGTCGACACCTCCTTGACTTCGCAGGAAACGCGTCATGCAAGCTTCCCTAACCATCTTGTTGGGATAATCAAGGTAGACGAAGAAGCGAAATCATCGTAGCCCTCCTCGTCCATCTCTTAAATCATGAAGGTCACCGACGTGGCCATAAACCCATCCGACGAAGCTTGCTGTACCTGCGCGAAGCTCCTCAGCTCCGTGCCGAGGTACAGCGCCGCCACCGAGAAACCTCTCCCAGACGATAGGCGACTCGGTTGCTGCGCGCGTGTCATCTGCGGGAACTGTATCCATGTGCGTCCGCCGAATAAATGCTCTTATCACGGATCCCGCCACTGGAAACGGAACGCTGACCGGTAATACAGGAAAACACCCGCTTCGCATCCTACTGCCCATACTGCCAAACATCCACAGCGCCCTCAGTGCTACCCCCGAACCTCAAAGACCCGCCATCGTATACCTCCTTCCCGCCAACCCACCACCTCTCCTCCGGCGCCCCGGCGGCCCCGCCCCCGCCGTACACATACACCTCACCCGACGCCGGCGCCGACGAAGAACTCAACGAAAAGAGCAGCGGCTCCTCCTCCTCAACCGCCACGCCCCCCGAAGACACCCTTCACTTCCTAAACCACGACACGGACACAATCGCCTCCCTCTCCCTCCGCTACGGCGTCCCCGCCGCCGTCCTCCGCCGCAGCAACAACATCACCAGCGACCACCTCCTCCACGGCCGCCGCACCGTCCTCGTCCCGGGCGCCTACTACGCCGCCGGCGTCAGCCTCTCCCCGCGTCCCGTCGAGGGCGAGGAGGAGGAGCTGCGCAAGAGCCGCATCCGCCGCTTCATGACGGGCTGCAAAGTCTCCGACTACGACGTCGCCGTGCTGTACCTCGAGCAGGTCGGCTACGACCTCGCCGCCGCCATGGAGGCGTACGCCGACGACGAGGCGTGGGAGAAGAGTCATCCCGTCCAGGACGGCGGCGGCGGTGGCGGCAGGGGGAAGAACAAGGCCAAAGCTGCACCTCGGAATCGGGGGCCGTTTTGGAGAGGTTCTGCGTGACGGGGTCGAATGTACGGAGTAGGATGAGTGGGAGTTTGATTCATTTGCGTACTTGGCTTCACTCGGCGCGATACGGAAGTGGGAAACAGGCGTTTGTGCATTTTTGGTCTTATTAGAGCTCTTCTTCATTGCGTCGTCATCATGTCCTTAACCACCTTTATGGCTCTGTTTGGCCTGTATGAAAACGCCGCTGCCATATACCGTTGTAACGCTTTGTACACAATACACGTGACACATCCCGATGTCTCCTCTGCGAGATGTGCTCGATCGGTGACGCTGTCCGCAAATGGAAAAAAACAAAAAACCCATCCCGGCCAACGAAGCCCTTAGAAGGCAGACCTCGTTCGGATGTCAGAAATCTTCCTCTCGATCTCTCTTACTGAGCGGTCGAGTTCACCGGCAATCATCTGCTTCTTTTCGCTAGGCAGAAGGGTGTATCTCTCACACAAATCACCGTCAATGACGCCCTTTACGGGGACGTAGTAACCACGGTACATGAGATGATCCCTTCCGGCGAGCGGCGCGTCCTCGGTACGCATGTGCTGCTCGAGGTTCTGGAAGAAGTCCACGTCCTCGCGGGTCACGAACGGAATGAAAACGCCAATGGTACCGTTGATACCGCTCCAGAGCAGAACGTCCTGGCCACCGACGACCAAACTTGTTTTCGTGATGCTAGTAGGAACATCTTGGGTGTAGGAGTGGCCTAGGAGGTTGAGACGGTGTGGCGTGCCGTGGAGATAGTCTCTCGTGTTGAGGAGATGGAGGCCGCCTGACTCCTCGTCTGCTTCTTGACTTGCCTTCTCAGGGCAGCGGACGAGGAACATGTTGCCGAATTTGTCGCCTCCAACAACTGATTCGTAGTCCACCATTGCGGTGCATGTAACCCATCTGGAGATGGTATCGTCAACGAAGGGAATGAGCTTGTTCGTCGTCGCCTTGTAGACGACATAAGTGATGCCGTGCTGGACATCGCCGACGACGATGCGACTTCCTTGTGTGCTCAGAGACACAATCAGTTGCGGGGCCACGTCGGCTTGGGCCTTTCTGAGCATCTGTCTCAGGCCGAGGTCGTAAATCCTCAAGGTCTTGCCAACGCCCGCGAGTAGTCTGCCTTGGAAGCCAAGGAGTGCTGATGGAGGCTCTTCGACCTTTGTTTTGTGAATGAATTCTAGCTCATGACCATCTTCGCTGAAGCGGTAGACATGGATGTAGCCTTCAGAGAACTGGCGAGGGTTGACAACCATGTCCTTGCCGGTGCCAACAATCAGGAAGCTTTCGTTGTCCTGGCTAGCAAACGAAACGATTGCAGCACTGACAGCTGCTTCGTTGTTGTCGAGGTCAACGGTCTGCAGAACTTGCTGATCCTCTGACAAGGGATCGATGACGCTGATGCAGGAAGCCCAGCGGCCTTTGCCCTTGGGGTATCCGAACTCGTCAGGCGGGAGCACCACAGCGTCGCCATTGACGACACCAGGTTCTGCGATGAGCTTGGCCCGTAGGTCAGGTGGCAGCGTATTGTTGTCTGCCTCGACCGTGTAAAACATGGGGTGTTCAGGATGCTTGAGAAGACGTCGCGGAGTGTAGGTGAGGGGTATCGACTTTTGTGTAATGGTGTCTCCTAGGTTCTCAATGGCAAAAATTCTAATCCTCTGCGTCAGCTGCTGATCAAAAGAATTTGGCTGCAGAAAATAACAAGGTTGAAAATGACTCAGTAGGAACAATTGGTATGTTGCGTAAGACCTCATAGCGCTTTGGCATAGGATCCCAAATTTCTCATCATGTCATGTGGAGGAAACGAGTGAAGGAAATCGTGATGCTTGCTTACCTTAGTGATTGACCCTGAATGCCAACGACACCTTCTTCACACTGCTCGCTGCTGAAATTCCAAACCCATTCGAGGTCAACGTAGTTCAAGGGCGTCACCAGGAAGCCTCGAGTGATGGGATCAGAATAGCCAAGCCAAGGACGGGAGCTCAACCCTATCACGCAGGTCCGTCCTTGAACAGTAGCTTGGAAAAGTCGCACCGGCTTGGGACCGAGGAACTTTTGCCTCGTATCCGTAAGCTCTCCGGTGATTTCGTCCAACACAGTACGGAGGTAGACACCAGAATGAAGGCCGATATGGAGGTATAGCGTTGAGCCTCCGGACGAGGAGTCATCCATGGCAATGATTGCAAGGGATGATGGAGGAGCAGTCAAGGCTTGGACTGACTTGCTCTCCAGCGTTGACTCGGGGTCTAACGACAAGACACGTACAGTGCTGTCATCGCAGCCCACAGCCAGGAATGAACTTCGCAGGCGTCCTTCGGGGATTTCACCCAAGCTCAGACATGTGACAGTTCCGAACATTTCCTTCTTCTCATCGTACTCGGCAAGGGATCCATCGCCATCCATCTCGAAGTAGACAATCTCACCCGAGCTGAGTGCAACTGCTACCTGATGCTCGTTGGTGGTCGCCGCGACGATGGATCTGTGCTGCGGTGCGGCCCATTCGTTGACTTGGCCATGTCTGATGTGACGAATGCCTTTGGGATGGACCTGAATGAGGCCGTCTTCGCCCAGCAACTGTGCTGCCAAAGTCGGCACAGATGTTAGGAAACCGGAATCGCTGACCTCCTCGACCGTCTCACCAATGCTTAAAACAAGAGTTCCGTTGGTGAAAGACAACACAATATACGCATCATATTGGTCGCCGCGGCTCAGCTTGAGAGTCCAAACCGCCGAGGGAATGCCAGGCAGTTCGGACGCCACAATCTCATTGACTTCCAAGCCATGCTTCAACATCCTAAATGTGCTACGGGCACCGTTGCCGCAGGCTGTGTAGATTTGTGGCGCATCCTCACCAGTCAGGTTGGCTACTTTGCAGTCAAGAAGGGGGTTCATGGAGTCAATGCTCTCGACTAGAGCAAGATTCTCCAGTGGTCGGGGATGGAAGTAGACCGCTTCGTAACCAGCCCTAGGGTCTGTTGGGAAGTCGTCGCTTGAGAATTCCAGTTCCTCGTCGTCGTCTCCGAGCTTCTCGAACTGGTAGAATTGGTGGTTGCCAAACTGGCTAGCAGCGTAGAGGAAACCGCTCTTGAGAATGCAGAGGCTAGATGATACCGGCACCGTGTCGAAGTACTTGATCTTCAGCCGCTTCACTTCGCCAGTGGGATTGCCATCTGCATCCTCAACCATATCGAGGGTGGCCTTGAAGAGGTCCCCATCCTCAGTCTGCAGGAGGAAGAAGAAGGCGCCAGCACTACCTTTCAGCTTGTGCATGACGCCAGACACCACGTGCCGCTTCCTGGAAGGGTCTTCCGTTGCACCTCTCCGGCGCGGGATGGGCACACGGAAGGCTTCCTGATTGGAGTGCCTGTATGTGATGTTTTCCTCTCCACAAACCAAGACTCCACTGGGGCCATCTTGACCACCTGGGACTTGAAACAGCAGTGAAGCCGTGGGATCGACAGGTTCGGACCATTTCCGGACAACGTGGTTTAGTCCCAAGTCCAACTCGTAGTACACCAGCTGAGTCTCTGCTTCCCGAGCTGCCTCTCCCGTAGGATCTTGGTCTGCCTCAGTGTACTCGATCTCGAGCGCAGCAAAGACAGGGTTGGCATAGCCGACGTCCAATGCGACCATGCACAGCACCAGGACTCCGGGCTTGTGTGCCTCAAGAGGCGAAGAGATCGTGAGCTCGGCCTGCGAATTGCGGTTGAGGACGTATACGAGCTTATTCTTCTCGACTGACGCAATCATACACGCTCTGCCTTTCGGATCGCATGCAAGATATTCTCCAGGTATGACTCGTCGTACCCCAGACTTGCCAAAAGTCTCTAGATGCAGACGTTGAAACCGATTCTGCGCGGGAATGTACTCGACGATTGTGATTCTTCCAGAGTCAGTCGCAAGGATGAGATAGTCTTGACGCAAGGTCAGCAAAGTCCTTTGACAATCAAGTCTTGCATCCGAGGTCGGGCGACATTGACTGCATCGACGCCTGTCGCGACCGGCAAGCTTCTCAAATCACTAAGTGAAGCTTAAAATGGAGAGTGGGACACGAGACATACCTTTGTTGCTTCCAGCCAAGCGGAAAGCGGCCATAGACCTGATGATGCCGAAGATATCATGCGAGAGGAGAGTGATGACCTTTCCCTGTGACGGATCCGGGCGAAGCAAAGTCAATCGCGACCCTGATGCTGTCACAATATTCTGCTCCTTGGTGCCAGAGAACTGACCCAGCACCGCCTGTGTGACATTGGTAGGCGATTGAAGGGTCAGGGAGTAAAGAAACATGTTCGAGGTCGTCGCCATGTTTGCAGGTGAGCGCAGATAGCCTGCGCGGCCTCACAATTCGAGCTCGAATGGATGGGCAATGCACAAGACGCGATGGTGTTTTTTGGAGTGATGGTGGGTTGGGAGGCTGGAAAGCTCCAGCACGAAATTTCAGAAGCTCCAGGTTCCCACTTGGCACCTGAGACCTGCGTGGTGGAGACCCACGGCGTCGGCATCTTGTTGATCCGAGCTCCCCGAAATTTCGGGTCGGCCCCGTCGATACAGAGCTCTCTGGAAGCTTGTGAGAGAGAGGGAGTATTCTTGGTGTCAACGCAGGCCGCAACTGGACTTACGTATACCATCGGGCGTCATGGAGCCGGCTTTCAGAAGAGCAGCGTCAAGCGCTTGCGGGCAATGCTCTGCAGCATTGAGAAGGCAATTGATTGCCAACGGAGTTCCCAGAATCACCCCTCGCATCGCATCAGCCCACTTGACCCGAAGCCTCCATTCCACCGTTTCTAGGAGATCGAAGGCCAACAATGTGCCCACGAGACAGTTCTCTTCGTCCCCGAAAGCCTCGAGCGAAGCGGCAGCCGTAAAGCCCGCTATCAACGAATCGTCGACCCCCAAGCTCCGATCAGACGACCTGTTTCACTCTTTCACGAATTCCCCCATCCCGGAGATTCGACGACGTGCGGCTTTCATGCGCCAACATGCCTACTGTTCTCACCCCGATCATCGCGCGACAAGGGTTCCGACCGTCGCACCCCATGGCGAGGAGAAACAATCGCAAACGGGTCAGCTCGCCCCGGCGCACGTCGATTTCGAGTGTCCCGATTGTGGAATTCCCGTCTCCTGCAGCAAGGAGCACTGGATGGACGATTACGAGGCTCACCTTGAGATCTGCGACACTTTGAGGGAGATCAACGAGGATGACCATGACCTACGATCTGGCCGGACGTTCCCGGAGTTCGTTATGGCAGATGATCAGATGCCCGAGGCGGTCGTCAACATGACCAACTGGGACACCTTCATGTACAGCCGCGAGTTCGAGGCTATCAATGATGAGCGCAGCATGCGGCAGGTCACGAAGATGCTCACATATCCCATCACAATTGGCAGTGTTTTGCACGAGTTGAGCCCCTACAGCGTTAAGCAGGGTGAGAGGTTGACGAGCGAGGGTTTGAAGAGTTTGAGTGGTGAGTTAGTTGCATGGTTTCACAAGTGCGACGAACTGACAAGAAGGCAGCTTTGCGGTATACTCTTCATCCTCCTCTTTCCGGAAAGGGTACTACCATGAAGGAACTCCGTCCTGAGGCGCCTCCCGTGAGAGTCTTCTGCTTGGGAGCGCGTGCCGAGTCATCCCTGCCCAGAAACGTCTGGCTCCAGCTTGCTCATCTCTTCCCAGAGAGCAAGATTCATCTGATCTTTATTGGCCCCGAAAGCATGGCTAACCGAGACGATGAATTCCCCCTGCCGCAGCGGACGCCCGAGAACCCGTTTGGTATGGTGATTGAGGACCGGATATCGCACAAGATGAAGATCAGCACCATCGTGGACTACTACCACACCATCCACAAGACCGGATACTTTGCGCCTTACGACCCGTACTTTGACTGCTTCTGCCTCTTCCATCCTGGTTTGGGCCATCCTGCAAGCAGCCACGAGTGGACCGAGACGCTTCCCATGCTTCTAGAGACCAAGGTCCCTATCATTGCTACAGGTTACACCCAGTTTGATATGGAGAGAGATATCGATTGGGTCAGAAAGACCGCTGCTGGCGAATTTGACGTTCTGTTGGAGCCTGGCGAAAACCTTTTCCGCAGCTTGAGGTGGGATCTGAATGACCTGGATCCCCAGGACGTCAGCTGTGGAAATTGGGGAGTGTGGGCGTTCCGTGGAAAGAGGTATGCAATGCGTACCAACCGTTGATGTGATCCGTCGCTAACAAGGAATACCTAGGTATGAGACGACTAAGAAGGATGACGAGTAGGTGCTCGTCACGT